TTTAATTATACGAGGGAGGCAAGATTGGAATCGTCATTTCTTATTACAGAACTTGATAAAAGTAAGAAACAGTTGATATTGAGGTCTGTTTATCTGAAATCTGGGTTGTGACACATACATGTAATTTATAGATTTTAAATATTTTTACTTTTTGCAAAAAAGAGTATTTTCCAAAAGCAGATTGAACATCGATATTCAATTTTAATACGTTAACTGCATTGGATATAGTTGACAAATTACATTTCATATGAAATAATGAACTTTATTGAATAAATAATTTGTTCATTATCTTAAAAACCATGTCATTTTTCTTATTAACTTTGAATTTGTCTTTTTCAGAAAATGGTGTCGTACTTAAATAAAAAATATATATTTGCTATTAAAGGTAAAGATGGTAAAAACATATTAAAGGCAAGGAAGAGACTAATACTTACATTAAATACATTTTTTGCAGAGTCGGCATTTCATTATTAGAGATCGGAAATATTACAGCGGCTGCAATGTGAGTTGACTGTAGGCCGGGTTCTCTTTTATGTAATTTTATCCAATCAAAAAGAGACACAACCGATACCTTACTATACTATATAGTAGCGAAATTTCAACTACTTCACATTTTAGTAATCCCATTATCCATGTCATTGTACAATAAACATATACATGTCTGCCTCTGGTTTGAGGCTTCCCATCGATCAATTTATTCGACACGCACCAGGCGTGTCGGTGAACAATCCAGGTTATTACTGAGAAACGTTGGCCATGCATTGACGCTTTGCTTGGCCGAGTGTATGGCACGTGTTTTTATGGCAGACAGTATCATTGTGTCAGCATAGAGCGGAGAATTTAGACTATTTCTGCTAGTACAACGCGTATGACAGCAAAATAAAAAGTTATCGTGAGCGGATAGTGACATTTTAAAAAAATGTAGTTGATTTAATTACGAAACTGTGTTTCCTTTCGTTTATATCCATTAGCGTGTACTCACAGACATAGTCACATGAAAACATGAACAATATAATCAATTATTTTGTCAGTTTTTTACATTAAATTCGATAAAAACAAAATACTTCCTTTTATCTGCATGAAACCTGGACTTTCAATCAAACTTATTATTGATTGCAACATAAAAGTATCAACTGTAAAATATTTGTGCACAAGTCGCTTGGAAAATAAATTATTATATTCCGTTGTACAAATAGTTATGTTACATTTACATCAAAATAATATCTCGTATGTAATTTAAAGTAAAGTTGTTTCGTTCTGCTCAAGGAAATTGGAAAAATTATAGAGGATTAAACCGACTCATCTCAGCTTCCTTAAACAGGATAATATTTACGGTTTTGCACTAATAGGGAATTACTTAATTCGGATGCCAGGCGTAGAAGTTGAGTGAGCCAGATTAGAATGCATGTAGGTAATTAAAGGGTGAGAATTACGTTTCTCTGGGCACGGGATACACACCACCTGCATCCTAATTGGTTGTTTTTCCTGGCGGCAAATAAACGCGCAACGAAGTTAATATCTCTTTGCATTTGCAGCTGTTGACGCAAACTTCTTTAATTACAATGACTAAAATGAGTTAATTTACACTCTATTTAAACTCATTTTATTCTGAATTATTTCCCGGGGCAGGAATTCTCGCAAGGGCTACAAAAATTAAAAAAAAATGAAATCGTTATTAAATATAAACTAGCGTGAATGAAAATATAGAACCAAATGAAACTGTATGATTATATAGAATACTTACTTCGATGTTTTACCACCACAAAATAATTTAAAAAATATCATTTAAATATATTTTTTAAGAAGTTACAGAATAAAGTAAGTAAATCAGTTTATTCGCAGATAGACATAAAGGAATGCTGGTCAGGCTTTTAAAAATGTTAGTGAGCAAGTTGACTAGAAAACGTTCCTTGCTTACCTGTTTAAACATGTAAATTTCAAATAAGGATAAGTACTTTTAGATCCATTAATATTCATATTTCAGGATATTCCGCACGCTAATAGGAAATACAGTGTTAAAATTTTACATACCAAGGCTGACTGAATATTTACTTATTTAATAGGTTTAAAATTAAACAAACTTCGTCTGATTGTAGATAAAAATTGATAAATATCGGGAAACGTAACCAACTCATAAATTTAAAAACTAGAACAAATATGTGTTATGTTAAACCAGGTCTACAATGATAGATATAGTTACTGTGGATAATATAATTATTTTTAATAGTTTATTACACCTTATTGTTCTTATGGTCAAAAACTGTGAATATTTGAATAGAACTATTCTACACTAAGTACCCTTTATTTTTTATGTAGAATCTGAAAAAAATATAAAAAATGTGTGTTTCCATTTAAAAAACTAAAGTTGGTGTCTGTCCGGGAAAAGTGGAACACCCTGTATAGTTGAATATATTTTTAATTTGTACATTCCGAGAAATGTGGCAACACAGTAAAAAAAATCCATATATTCCTCATTCTAACATAGATATTGGACTCTCCCGCACTACTGGGACACGCTGTATAAGGACTGACAAGGCAGAAGTACATACCTATAGCTATATATATATTTTTCGTTTCGGTGTAAACTGCTGTAATTTATTTTTAAATGGCCCAATATTTGTCTACTTCACATGGATGATAAATGCAGATGCAAGCCAACAAAATATCCCGTATGGTAATAAACTGCCCCGCGTACATAAAATAAAATAATTATTATGCAAAAATAAAACACTATTCTGTTACAAACAATAGCTCACATCACAGCGGATACGTGCTGGCTGTAATAGGTTCCCTGCAATATTGCAATTATTACGAAATAAAAATGCCAAACTCAGTTCCATGTTCGCCATTTTGATTGCATTTTCGTTATAGTTGTGTCATTCGTTTTTACAATATGCATTTTGTATTAATGACAATGGCATTGGTACTTTTTAGGACGTGAAAACGGTTAAATGAATATTTATGAAATTTTTAACTTGTACAACTCCGGGAATAATTAATTATACAATACTTATATTCAAATGCAATTGCATGCAGCATATAATTGGGGCGATTCATTTTATGTCCTTTATGTTACATTTATTTTGAATCTTTTTTTGAAACTCCCGATATAGTTTTGTAGTTTTATCCACACCATGTTCATCAAAAATTTCCAAATAGTTATTATACAGGGTGTAGCGTGTATAATCTATAAAAACTAAACTACAGCTTCCTGATGATATTTGTAATAGAAAACTCTGACACGAAAAAGTTCTATCTTCGCGTTTTTTTTGTAAATTAAAGTTTATTTATTCAACGATAATGAAGGGCGACCCTGTGTTATTTATTAAAAACTTCGGAAATGTTTTTAAGCGACCCGAGATGTAACCTTATAATTTAAGTCGATATAATCTAATACTAGTAATACTAAAAGAAGGTTAGGTTACATTGTCAAAAAATTTGTGTAGTCAACTGATTTTTTATTTGTATTGAATTCATTATTCACTTAATTATTAAAAGTTAAGCATCGTCCATCGACCCATCAGTGTTAAAAAGTGAAAGATTCCAGACAAAAGTTTTTATTTTTTAATCCCACGATAGTGACAGTGTAATTTTTATAAAGAAGTAAGAAATAAGAGTAGCGTGTCGATTACATTAAAAACGACATTCTTATTTCTCACTTTGCTTAATTTTTTAGTTTATGCACAAACTAGTTTTACAATGAACCGAGAAAACAATGCATTTACTATTTTCGAACGTGTCGATATGGTGCAGCCAGAGAAAATGCGCTCGCGGTGACTAGGTTGTACCGGGAACGATGGCCACAACGTCAACCCCCATGTGCAAATACAATCCAACAGTGCGTTCAGAGGCTGCGAGATACTGGAAGTGTTATTCCTCGAGAAGAAGGACGTGGTCAGCAAGTGAACCTTAATGTTGAAGATGCAGTGTTGGAAAATCTTGACGAAGACCCCACAATTAGTACTTGACGACTCGCACAGTAGGTAGGAACCTCATCTCGTACCGTACATCGCATCTTAAAGCGCCAGCTGTTGCACCCCTATCATCTGCAACCAGTTCAACAGATTTTACCCCCAGATTGTGATCAACGAATGCACGTTTTTGCAGGCAGTGTGCCAATCAAGTAGACTGCGGGCGTTGGTGCCATAGGCTGCGGACGTCGGTGCCATGCCTGTATCCGCTCTAATGGGAATCAATTTCAACATTCAAAAAACACAAAAATAAACTTTTATAATATATCATAAGATTTTTCTATTACAAATATCATTAGAAAGCTGCTTAATTTTTATAGATTATACACGCCACACACTGTATTATTATTAATTTAAAATTAAAGTAAAATAAAATCAATACTGTAGCACTTATTAAAGAACACTATGATTAATAGAATGTTAATCATTACATTTTTTACTGAAATGTACGTCGTATCTTGAAAATAAATGAAAATTGCATAACATTTGCTTTTTTCTTATTATTTTGACTTATAGAATCCATTCCTACTAGAGTCTTGCGCGATGTTCCCGACTCGTCCTGTAATTTTCATATGCTGTTCGTGTATACAATAGATAATATCCAACACATTGCCGATAGGTACCTAAACGCTTTTATTGGTTTGTAAAGGCAATTCTTTTAATATGAAATTGTTAACGTTAGAAAAGATTAAACTTTACTTTCGACAAATTTACATTCACTGTCTGAACTATTGTGTAGTGTTTTATATAGTCATTAAATATTTATCAAGTACCAATTCTCTCCATCTTGAACAAGTTTCATTCTATAGCTCTTTCACAAACTTTTAAAATCCTACTTTTTAATTAAATAACGCAGTGTCTTGTAGAGAGATTTTCCCGTTCCTTTCTCTTGGACCTCTATAGTACATCATTACTTTTATGTAATTTGTATAAAGCATCAAACAAAAGAATTTTAGTACCTTACTATAATTAATTTTTATTTACAGTTTATAAAAGCAAAGCTTTAATTAGCTTCTGCTCTCTTTTCAGGCAGTCCGCCAAAATGAAGATGAGCAAAGTAGGAAACCAAACAAATTCGCAGGACCCTCAAGCAGTGAATTCAAGGGTTTTTGTTGGAAATCTAAACACATTCCAGTGCTCCAAAACGGATGTTGAAAGAATGTTCCAGCGGTATGGGCGGCTGGCCGGTAAGTGCCGTAAAATATTTTTTTCGTGTGTTTCTGTTATTTTTACTTGTTCCTTTTGGTAAGTCTTGATTAATTAGCGGAGTCACTTGTTGCCCTTTCATTATTTAAATCTCAAGACTACGCCATAACCCCATAAAGTGTTGTTCATTCAAGTATACCATCAAAAAGGTATTTAGGACAATGTTTACATGATCCTCTTACACAACAAAAAAGGACAGGAAACAATTTATATGAAATTTACACCTTGTTCTCGAAGTCTACGAAATGATGCACTAAGACTTGTGAGCAGGTTTATGTATGTCTATTTGGGTATGTTCGTCGGTATTCTCTGGCTGCTTGTATGGTGTTCCCATTGGAATACCCATATATATAAAGATAATATCTGCAGACTCTTCAGTTCTAAATAAACATTTTTTATTTAGCACTTTAACGCTAAGTATCAAATGAATAAACAAAATAACACAAATAATAATTATTGTTATAACAGCTATCATTTTATTTTTATTGATTGAAATATGAAATTCAATTTTTCAAAATGCCCAGCTACATCTGTCAAAGTTTGTCATAGAGCTTATAGAACTCAAACTTCGTTTATAAAGTTCAAACTGGAATTGAGAATTGATAATTTTATTTACAAGCCAAAAAAATCTCGGACCACAGAAAAATATATCAATCATTTATTTGAAATTTTGCATAGATTGAATTTTAGGTCGATTAAAAACAAACAATTATTTATAAAGTACTTATAAACGAGCGCTTCACTAGTTTGGCATAAGGTACCGAGTATTTGAAAAAATGTATTCATTCATGTCCCCCACAGAAAAATGTTTTCGTAGTAGATTCAGCATTAGTTTCTTAATGCCAATACAATTTCCAGAGAAAAGCTCTATATCTAGAAGCGGATTTCTGGGGCCATTCGATTCGGGTTGTTCAAAGAACATAAAAGTACTTTCCATTAAATATTTATTCCTAAATAAATTATAGATCCAGGATTTGTCCGGTTTACAGAGCACCAAGTGATATTATTACCATTACAAGCCCATTCTATTTTAAGTGTAGTTGACTTTATAAAATATTTAGTTGGACTTTTATTGAAATTAATTGCGATACCGTGTTATGTATATCCTGGAACAAATAAAACGTGCGTGTTTTTGTTAGACTTTGTTCTCCTCTCCAGAAGTTAATAAAAATTTGTTGGCTTTATTACCGTTGGTCTTCCCCTTTTCGATAATAAATGTCCATCTTGAAGCTAACGGTAACATATCACCTGAAACGACCTTTAATTATTCTTATATTTTTTTAATGTATTTCCCTTAAAGTAATGAATGTAGCTGTTAACTGAATGAGAAAACGCCATTAGCTTGTTTGTGGTACTGAATGCTACCCAATAATATTACAATTACTTTTCTACTATTTATAACTATACCTGCATATACGTGGTGTCTATTATTGCTTATTTGTGGTATTTTCAGTTATTTTAGTTTTTTCTGTTGTACTGATCAAGATCTTAGATCAAGATATTTCTGGTCTGACTTAAGGCATGCCTTGGTATATACAAATTATTATTAAATCGTGTATTATACTGATGAACGTCATTCGCATAAACTATATATCTCTGAAGGTAATGAGGGACCAAGCCATTAATTATTTTAAAAACATATATCATAGCCATAAACAGCAATCTATTCCTAACACAGATCCACTGCAGCGATGACAACATAAGTCGTATAGGGGTATGTCTATAACATCTGATAATAATTCTCATTCCTCTGTTTTGTAATTTTTGTAGAACTCCAATTTTATTGAGATCTAATGAATACAACAAACTAGCACAGTAATCAAAATGTGGCTGGATTATTGTATATACACAGTTATTCTTGATGCCATAGAAAGATGCTGGGATACCCTTGAGAAAAAGTATAAATTCTTAATTATTTTCCTTTGAATATACGAAAAGTGTGCATTACATTGTAGATTATCAATCATAAACCCCAAGTATTTTATTTCAGTCACAATATTAATTATATTATCATCTATCTTTAAATGTATTAAGTCTTTATTAATATTTCTGTACTTAAATGAAGTTGTAATAATCATTGCTTTAGTTTTATCAATATTCAATTTAAGTTTATTATGTTTTAAATATTTAGTAATGTTAGTCAATGCTAAATTCATCCTATTTATAGCTGTGTTCAAACAATTACTGGTAACTGACAGTAAAGTGTCGTCTGCAAACAAATTTAAGAAAACCTCATTCTGCAAACCCTTAATGTCATTAATATACATAAAAAACAATAACGGTCCCAAGACACTACCTTGGGGCACACCAAAACTATTAGTTTTTGCCGAGGACACACTGTCCATTATTTTAGTAACCTGGCACCTGTCAGTTAGATAATCCCTGAACCACTCTAATATCTTTCCTTCTATTCCAAATTTGTTAAGTGTTAATAGTAACATTGATCTATCTATGGTCTCAAAAGCTCGTTTTAAATCTAGAAAAACTGCCACAGTGTAATCTCCCCTATCCAAATTCCTTTTCCATTCAGTGATCGTCAATTGTAATGCAGATTCACAGGAGTGTTTAGCACGAAAACCCGATTGATTAGCAAGAAGCAAATTATTTTCATTTACATACTCATATAGTTGTTGATATACCACCATTTCCAAAAGTTTTTCGCAACTTGGCAAAATATTAACAGGTCTAAATTCCCAGGACTTGATGGTGCCACTAACCTTTTCAATTGGAATAATTGTACTAGTTTTCAAATTACTTGGAAACTTACCAGATTCAAGAGAGCAAATATCCCCTTGCACCGTCAAACGTAGATGAAGCTTGTGATCAACTCTATCAAAACCTGTACTTTTGACAATTACGTTCAAGTATTTTGCCATAAAAATATAAATATCCACCGTGGTACAATATAGAAATCGTTGATAAATTAATCTTATATATAAAATTCTCCGTGTCACAATGTTCGTTTCCGTACTCCTCCGAAACGGCTGGACCGATTTTGATGAAATTTTGTGTGCTTATCGGGCAGGTCTGAGAATCGGCCAACATCTATTTTTCATACCCCTAAATGTTAAGGGTGGTCCACCCCAAAATTTTTTTTTTTTGTTTTTTGGACAAAATTTTATTTTTTTATTTTTTTATGATGTGGCCTTAAAAAATACATACAATCCTAAATTTTCACCCTTCTACCATCAACCCTTATTTTTTAATAGCGATATTAGTAATTCAATAATTTTCAACCCCGGTCGATAACTGATCAATTATCACTTGATCATTTTTTTTATCCCCGCCAGGCGTCGACCGGTGTCACTTCTGACCCAGTAAACAGCACGGAGTAGGGATGAGATCTCTCTCACACAATGAGCCGTTTCTCACTCCCTACAGTTTTCGGCCATTATTATTATTGTTTGTGCATCAACCGTAATAATGACATTTACTATTACTATTAATAAAAAAAATATACACGATATACACTGAATAACACTAAATATAATATAGATGGTAGAAGTGAAATTTCTTTATGAAAAAACTACTAAAATAATCCTAGGATTAATTTATATGGAAAAACAACGTTTGCCGGGTCAACCTAGTATATAATATAAAAGACTGAGTCAGATAATAATAACTTATAAATCTTTAAAAAAAAAAAATCAGTTTGCGTGTAATTTGTATATCAATAACGTTCAGTCAGAATTTATTCAGGATAGTAAATACTATGGAAATTTATGATGGAAAGAAACAAATTTAAAATACCAAATACTACTAGCAATAATTTTAATGAAAGTAACTCTAATAACAACATATCGTGCGTATATTTTAACTATGTCTCACAAGTCTATAATCACTTCTATCGGATAAACTTACTTATAGATTGCAGAGGTGTATTTGTATATTCGCTATTAGTAATATTTAACTTATGTTTAAGATCTGCAACTTTTCCAATTTTGTGGAAAATTGGTTAAGTAGATATATCCGATTTTGAGATCTGAGGATCCACTTATCTACACTAACTATAGACCTATTACTGTAGTATGTATCTTATCTACTATCTTTGAGATGTTTCTGTATGCAGCAATTCATCCTTTAGTGAAGAAGTAGATATCTCCATATCAACTTGCATTGATAGAGAAAATATCGACTGCCTCAAATCTTGTTTGCTTTATTCAATTCTTATGCAATATAATTCATGAACATGGATACTCTGATATAGAATATACCAACTTCTCGATTGGTCATAATATTTTGATAAAAAAAACTTAACTATTTTGGTTTTAGTGAAGCCTAAGTAAAATTACTTCAGTATTATTTGCAAGAAGACAACAATATGTTACTTACATACAATGGCCATCAGTCTGCTCTTTAGTTAGATCTGGAGTTCCACAAGGATCCAACTTTGAGCCATTCTTGGTTTTATTGTTTATAAATAACTGACAGGTCATCTTCAAGTTACTGAGCAGTCAGGATTGACCTTCAGTTTCTTTAACTTTTTATTATTTTTTATTAGTTTTGGTCGAGAGGCACAGTGCTGTAGTTTGACAAACGAATTAAGGGTCAAATTTTTTTTTATTGTTTTCTGTAAATTTAAAAAGAGAAAAAATCTGCATGAACTGAAAATACATTCATATTCGCATTTAAAAGAAAAAAAATGATTCCCCAATGTAGAAATAACGAAAAGGTTTCACTGCATTAGGTAGAAGCCGTTTAGTCCTTTTTTTAACTCAAAATTAATATGATACCTACATTTTGTTAGAGGATGGACTATCACTAATCTTTTAATGTATCTACTGGACGATATTTTAATATTAAATTCAAGATTAATAATAAAATGTATATTTTTATTCATTTGGATGGAATACCCCGATTAAATTCAGTTTTAATATTTTGAGATTCTATCTGCGGAAGTTACTCATTTTTAATAAAAAAAAAAAACGTAACATAATAAGCTTTAAATACATAGGTACATAACAAATAAAATGATGGAAAT